CGAGAGAGATATGTTCACTTGGGCACAGCAGCAAGTGCTCCACCACAGAGGCCGGCTGAGGAGTCGGGATCCTCTCTCAGGGCAGTACAGAGAGAGGGTGAGGGAGCTAGGCGGTGGGCGTGAGTCATTCTCCTGGCTTCTGTTTGCAAAGGGATGAAAGACCTATCAGGCTTGGATTTCCAAGCCGCTGAATTGGGTCCACTTGGAAAGCTGATGAGCATACATCTGATCATCCCGAAGCCTAGAACTATGACTTTTCTCCCTCCGGACCTCCACCTATCTGTCACTGACACTCATTAGCATGATTATCTGAATAGTGTCTTTCTATGACAGATCCATGGAACTCGGAACCCTTTTGTTCTTACCGTATTCCTGACATCTGGTAATTTTGCCCAGATGACACATGATGGGGATTTAAAAATAAATATTTATTGAATAATGACTAAACAAATAATTCTGCAAATCAGTCATTAATATAACACAAGCCGGGCATGGTGGCACATGCCTATAACCCCCAGCACTTGGAAGGCTGAGGCAGGAGATTGTTGCAAGTTCCAGACCAGCCTGGGCTACAAAGTGAGCTCAAGGCCAGCCTGAACTGCACAGCAAGACCATGTCTCAAAAAGACAAAAAAAAAAAAAAAAAAAAAAAAAAAAAAAAAAAAAAAAAAAAAAAAATTAATACAGCTCTGCACCATGAACTAGCCCCAGATACCCTTGAATTATAATAGTAATTCTTCTTTGTGAGAAATAGTCAAATACAGATGTACTTTGCATTTGCTTTATTAAACAGATAAGAATTTGCCTTTTAACTCTTCCTTAGAAGTCAGTACGTTTACCATTCTTCTTCACTGTGTGATCAGATACCGAACACAAAGAAATCTATACTGTGTCTTTGTATAGTAACATTTCCATCTTTTGTTTAAGATAAAGACTTTCATGTTATTCACATCTGAGAACACACTAAAACTCCAAAATGAGACACACGAATCATGGTGAGTGCATTGTTATTAAGATAAATGAGTGGTATTTTGGATAATTCAGTTGTGGAAAGAAGCAGGGCCACATCCCAGTGAGACCCTGAACTTGAGAGGATGAAATCTTTTGCCTCAATAACTTTCTGCCCCTATTTTTAAATCAGTCTGCTGATTTTCATACCTACAACCGAGATAATTTATTCCAAAAAGTATTATATAACTGCATTCTCTTTGTCCACCTTTAAACTGTTACAATGTAGTGAGACATGTGAATTTTTTCAAGAGAGATGGAAAAAATTCTAACCAAATGCCATCTGAAAACTAATCTCAAAAGTATGTAGTGCAAAGAGCCAAAAGTTATAAAAAATATAAGAAAAGCTGGTGATGATACATTTATGATTTCAGTTTCATCAATTCATTATAATTTAAAGATTCGAGGTAAAATTTCAAGCATTCATGGAGAAAAATGTCTTAGAAACTAAAAGTAACATAGTTTATAGGCTCAAAAATCTATTTGTTGTAGTCATGTCCCCTACCAAAGGCAACTGATTAAAAAACTATCAGATTATAGAAAATGTAGAAAAGTCAGATAAGAGCCAGGTGTGGTGGCGCACACCTGTCATCCCAGCACTCCTGAGGCTGAGGCGGGAGGATCATTGTGAGTTCGAGACCAGCCTGGGCTGCAAAGTGAGCTCAAGGCCAGCCTGAACTGCATAGTGAGACCCTGTCTCAAGAAGACAAAAAAAAAGTCAGATAAAATGCAACAAAAAAGATTGACTTATATTCAAAAAAATCAAGTTAAATCAGGCTGGAATCTTACTGGCTGGGGGCAACTTAAGTATTAGATTAGGGGCTGGATGAAATTATTTGTGCGGCCCTCTTACACACTAAAGTCTGTGTACAGAGTCACACACAGACGTGATAGGTGTTTAAGTCAGCAGGCTGTCTAACAGTACTCACCCGATGTATTATAAAGTCACCTATCTACAAAACTTGACAGTTTATAAGCTTCGTAGAGTTACTGGATGTCTAACACTCATTTTGCATGTGAGGAAACTGTTTGCTCTGGCTTTGTCTCACCACACTGGTGGTGTCTCAAATTGCTGTATGTGATTTGCTCAGGGCTATAAAACCATATGCAGTTAAAATAATAGAACCATAGACCAGATCTCCCAATACTAACTTGAGTGCAATTTTGCTACTACCTTGCTTTTGCATGTTACCTCATGTTCCCCTGAGAGAAAGAGACCATGTTTATTTAACCTTCTGGGCTTTGGCCCTCCAGACCCTGCAGAAAACAGCTGTGGAATTAGGAATTGAGACTGGGGCAAGCATGTGATTCTTTATCTTGCATTATGCCAACAGGTTCGCTGAACGCAATTTGGAGGAAGCGGAGGAGTAGGACGGCAATGTAAAGCACCAAGCGCAAATGAGTCCAGAGGCTAGAAATGATCATGGATAAAAAGTTCGATAAAACTTCCTCTTTGTTCTGGAAACTTCTGGAAGAGCAGTTTACAAAGTTCACCACTAGATACAAGATACTGTTTAAGTACACTTTTAAAAATACAGTGCACAGTAAGTTAAATCAGCAGGCAGCTCCAACTATAGGGCAAATGAAACAACAAATTACATTTATAGGACACATTTCCTCCCAAGGAATCCCAAAGCACTTTGTAAGTGAATTAGGAAGCACACATGTAAGAATCAGCTCGCCCACAGCGGAAATGCTGCTGCCTCGGGGGTTCATCTCGGCAGCTTTTTAGGAAAAGAGTCACTGACAGGTGTGAAGGGCGACCAGGCCTCATCAGCTGTGCATCAGCTCCTGACTCAAGGCTCTGGACTTGTGCATTCAAAGAAAGGTTTTAAAAAGAAACTTTTTAGGAAACTATGTTGGGAGCAGCCATCCAGGAAATCACGGTGTTTCTCTCCCGTGACGTAATGAGTAGAATATGGGCCTGTGCTTCAGATGATCTTGGGGAAATGAGTTTGACCATTTACTAGTTATGTGACCTTGGGAAGATTGGTGAACTGTTCAAAAATAATTTTTTTTCTTACAGGCAGCATTTTTGTAGCAAATGAGGTGATTAAGACCTTAGCCTGATGCTTGGGAAATACAAATGTACATTTTCTTCTTGTGCTACCGATTAGAAAAATTATCCTATGTTTTTAAACATCATGATATAATTAATTCTTCTTCTTAATGTTTGCATCTTTCTTACCACTATTTCTCTTACACTGGGCCCTCTTTATCCTTCAATTCCATATCCATGTATTCAAACAAATGCTTTGAAAATATTTGGGAAAAACTACACCTGCACTGAGACTGTAAAGAAATGTTTTTCTTATCATTGGTTCCTAAACAATACAATATAAGCACTTTTTATATAGCATTACATTGTACTGGACATTGCTAATAATCTATTTACATTGTATTGAATATTACCCATAACCTAGCAATGATTTGAAGTTAATGGCAGAATATGCACAGATTACATCCAAATTCTATGCTATTTTATAGAAGAGGTTTGAGCATCCTCACTTTTTGGTATCTGACGTAGGTCCTGGAACAATTTCCCATAGCTACTAAGGGACAACTGTGCTTAAGTTTATTTTGTTATTTGTTTGTGTCTTCCTTGCTACCACTATACATGTATACGTTTATAGGTGCATATATGTACATAACTGTGCATGTCTATGAAATACAAAATGTATCGTGTACACATCAATGTATTATTTTGCTGTATATTAATATCTATGCAATATGATATACACATAATTTCAGGGCAGAGGTTTCCATTTGTCCTCTTGCCCTGCTCACTGCTTTGTCGGAGGGAGTGTTGCCATCATCCCTTGGGACAGGATGATGGCAACATTGCAGAGGGTCTGGCATGGCACGGGGGACTGGATTCATCCTCTCTAGGAAGTCAGTGGGGAGGCAGAGCCTAAGTTTAAATTTGAGAGGAAAGAAAGAAGCCAAGGATCATCAGATTAGGGTCACTCATAGAGCTAAGAGGTCCGGAGTCGTGCTGAGGGAGTGACCCAGAAACACAGAGATGTGGTCAGAGAACTTGCCACAGGATTCGCGGAAGGCTGCATCTGTGCCTAATCTGGTCTGGAGTGTGACCCTAGGATAGGGAGCCCGAGTTAGAGTAGAAGGCAAAATGACAGGGGCAGAGAGGTCTAAGTGGCAGGAGGCCACTGCACAGGGAGGACTGTCCACTTAATGTACTGAATTCACCGAGATTCACAGCAGTATCGGTGTGTGAGAGGATGGTCTGAGGTCATCCAGGACCTAACACATTTACCATGAAGGGAAGGCCCCAGGCAACAGGGAGCAGTGATTTTTACCCCTGAGACTCAGTGCTGGTGTGTTCTCAGCATCCGTCTTAACTTCTATCAACTTCTGTTGATAGAAAATGAACCTGGGAGAAAAATGAATAAAACATTACCTTATCACCCAGAGATAGAGAGATAGATATTTTGAAGGTATTCTTGTGTGTGAACTTTTGAGTACATGTCTATACTGACTAAAATGACGACAGAATCAGTGACAAAAGAGATCGATGTGTCTGCTGTCTTCTTTACCCAGATGGAGAAATCAAAGCCTTATTTCTCAAATAGCTCTGAAACTAGGAAGGGAAGTCAGGGAAGTTATGTACTTTCTCATTCCTACCCTCCACGTGTTCTGGTTTCACTGACGTGTTTCCAAAGGTCTTCCCCACAAGGTCATTTATATCACAGAGCATGTATGGCTCCATCTTTCATGGTAAGTTTTGACTCCAATTTAAATTAATAATTGTGTGAAATGACAATTTAACTTCTTCCAAAATGCTATTTTAAAGCCACTTAGGGGGCTGGGGATTTAGCTCAGCAGCACCGTGCCTGCCCGCCCAGCAAGCGCAAGGTCATGAGTTCGATTCCCGGTAACAGAAAAAAAAATAAATAAATAAACAAACAAACAAAAAAGCCAATTATTAAAAAGTTCAGATTACTTCTGTTTATTTGAAATTATAATGTTCTACTCCAGAATAATGTAAGATCATTCTTTCTTTGGCTCATCAAATAAAAGGGTTTCAAATTAAGAATGCTGAAATTTTTTTCTACTCCTTTGGCAATCTTTTGGAAGTTTATAACCACTCAGACATCTTGGGCTTAAGTTGAATTGTCTTAGGTTTTGTCTGTATGAAAGAAGATGTTGTTTAGTTAGATAGATAGATAAATAGATATATGGATGTGTACATGTATAAATCTATCTATGTTCTAGCTTGAGAGTTTTGTATCCCTTTAAGGTCACTTTGTACATTTTTCATGAAGGACAGGAAGATGCTTTAAGATTTTATCTTAGTATTGTTTTTCAGAATTAAAAATTATTTTTGTCTTAACATTCTTTGAGCTGCTTGGATCAGTATGTACAATTCTCATCAAATTTGTTTTTTTAAGCACTATTTACCAAATATTTGTGGCTCCTCTCCTCTCCTTTTGTGTCTCATACAAAGGTCTGAGAACACTTGTTATTCGACTACAGGCCACTGACACTTCTTTTTTATCCCCTCCCACTTTCTTTTGGATATGTTAGTAATGCATCTTCAAATATTTCTTAATTCATTGTAAATTAATCCACTGAAGTTTTCACTTCAGACATTTTATCTTTTATCTTTAGAAGTTTCACTTGGTTCTTTTATTTTCTAAATGGCTAATATTTCTCTAATTTTATTTATACTTTCCTTTATATACATTTATACAGTTAGGACAGTTACTGTGTTAGTCCATCATTCTTGACATTTTTTTTTTTTCTTTTTCTTTTTTGGGTCTGTTTCCATTAACTGAATTTTTCTCTTGGCTATGAATTACAATTTCTTGCTTCTCGACATATCCAGAAATTTGAACAGGATGTTGGACATTATGATGATTACTTTATTGAGGATCTGCATTTTATTGTCTAACTTTAAAGAATACTGGGCATCTTTTGATGGGAATTAAGCTATTTACAGATAAGTTCGATCCCTGTGAGTCTGGTTTTTAAGCTTTGTACAAGGGTTCTAGGGCACACTGGATGGAGTTTCCGTAAATACAAGCAGCTGGGACTATGGCTGAAGAAGGGCGGTAAAGCCGGGTCTTCCCGTTTTTCTGGTTGGAACTCACATAACCCCAGCCACTGTGCGCTGTAGGATTTGCTCTTTTTTCAACCTCCTATTCATTCTTCCGTCTGGTTTGTAGAGTTCTACTCCGTGCATGTGTGGCATGGCCCTTGTACAGACTCAGGAAGGAGCTAATACAAATAGTCTATGACACATCTTCATTTTCTAGGGAAGTCCCTCCTTTTTCTGAAATCTGCCCTACACAGTTAATCCGCACTGCTTCCCTGTAACTCTGATCTTGAACTCTCTAACTGTGTGATACCGCCACACTCTGTCAGGTTTCTACCTTCTGCGCATAGTCTGGAAAATTCTTGTTCCTTGTTGTCTGAAAACAGAAGCTTTTCAAAGGTTTTCTATCCTGTTACTTCTTTTCCTTATTTTTCTTTTTTATTTGTAGATTCAGTTGTTTTTTTTTTTTTAAATGTCTTCGTGATTGGAAGCAGAACTCAACTCTTCAGGCAATTTCTATATTTCCTTATACACTTGATTGATCTGTGTGCTATATTTGCTTTTCAATACTTTTCAATGGTTTTTAGAATTTTACTATGATGTATTTGATGCAGACTTGATTTTATTTCTCTGCTTTGGCATTGCTGTGCTTCTCAAATAGAAGATTTCAGTTACTTCACCATTTCTATTATATTCTTACAAATTTACATTTTAAACACTGACGTCCCCAAATTATATTTCTTCCAGTTGGAATTCATTATAATTTAGGTTCAATCTTTTAGTTATAACTCCCAGTCCTCTTAATCTATCATTTTGGTTGCCTTTGATTTCTTTTCTCAAATCTATCTTGCTATTTAATCTGTATTTCTAAATATTCTATTCAGTCTTTATGAATTTTATTTTTACCTCAATAACTGCTATCTGTATTTATTATGTGTTTTCAGATTACTTTCTACCAACTCAAATGCATAAGCATTTAATCTTTATGTTGCTTTCACCCTTAATCTTGTCTGAATTTTGCTTTTCCATGTGAGTTTTATAACTTTTTACATGTATTGAAATTTTGTTTTCTGTACAAAGATTAGATGACCTGCGTTACGGAGCTTAAAGTTTCTGTAAGATTTACAGGGATACTAGTGGTCTTCAGCCCCTTTTGGTGAATTGATCAATTTATAGGTTGTGGGACTCTAGAATGTTAATGTCAAGCTCCAAATAGGTAAAATTTTTACAACTTAAGACTTTCAATGGATAGTTGTTGTCTATCCACTGTCTAGGTAAAGAAAAGTAAGATTCCTTTGCAATTCTCTCTCTCTCTCTCTCTCTCTCTGTATATA